GCTGCTGCTGCTCCACCCCCTCCGCCGACTCGAGACCCACCGACGACTGTGAGTCGCCAAGCACCAGACACGAGACAGGGCGACTGATGGGCGGCGGCGGCGGCGGCGGCGGTGGCGGCGGTGGCGGCGCCGAAGACGCACTCGCCAGCGACATCATCGTCGTCCTGGCGGGTTTGCCAAAGGGGTTCTGCGGCTTCGCGCGGGACGGCGGGGTTGTCACTGGGACCCGCTGCTGCTGCTGCGGGCTGCCACTGCCTCTCCCGTCCAGGCCGCTCTTGGACGGCGTGGTGGACGGCGTGGCCTCCGCCGGCCGCTTCCTCGGCGATGGCTCTGCCGGATCCGTGAAGGTCACGTGCCGCCTCGATGGACTCGCAGCGGCGGCGGCGGCGGCGGCGCTTGACCGTCGCTCCGGCGTCACAGCGGGGGAGGCGACGGCGGGCGGCTGTGGGGCGCGCTCGCCCGCCTCCACGACCGGAGCCGTCGCCTCCCCCGCGGCCGGCCGCGGCTCCCTGTCTGTGGGGGCGCTACTCACCGTGCCGGCGGGCTTTTCCTTCGCCAGCAGCTTGCGCAGCATCAGGTCCCGCTCCCGCTCACTAACGACGGTGCCCTCAAGCGGGAGGGTGCAGCGCCGCCGCCTCTTCGCCTTCACCCGCACCTCCAGCAGCGCAAGCAGCTTCTGCACCAGCTGCCCATGCCCCTGCGCGTTGGCCTCTTTGGCGCACGCCTCAATGTTGTCGCGCAGCTCAAGCAGGGTCGCGAGGTCCAGGGCGCGGGTCGTCTGCTGCTCCTGCAGTGCGCTCTTGAAGAGTTCCATAATTTTTCTGTCATGCAGCGCGTCGTGCTTGGCGATGACGGCGGTGTAAAATGTGCTGCGCCGCTTCACCTCGTCGGTCCGCACCTCGCGTCGCAGCAGGTGGTCCCACGTCACCATGTCCCGCTCGGTGCCGCAGCGGGTGAGGGGCAGAAACAGGCGCACGTGCTCCGTGGGGAGGCCGCTGGCGACGGCGGCGGGGTACGGCGGGTCACTCTTGCAGGAGCGGTACGCAAACACCGCCTCGTCGCTGACGCCCCAAATCCAGAGGTTGTACGTCTGATCCGTCAGGCAGCGTGGGTCCAGCACCGGCAGCCAACTCCCGCCCCAGTTGAAGGTGAGCATGCGCAGCACGCCGGCGGTGTCGGCGACGTGCAGCGGACCGTCCTCCGACCACCCCATCCACTGCAGCTGGTGCAGACTCCCGTCCGGCTGCGATGTGAGCGGGACAACGACCGACGGCAACACTACAGAGCGGGAGCCCACATCGAGCACCTGCAGCCGCATCTCCCCACCGCCCTCCAGGTAGCAGACCGCGAGGGGGTCAAAGTCGGCCTTGAAGGAGTGCATAATCTTGCTGCTGTTGGTTCCCACCATCGCGACGATGCGAGGGAAGAGGCTGAGCACGGCGAGCTCAAGCCCGGAGAGGGAAAAGAGCCGCAGGTACCGGCTCGTGGCGACCGCCGTGTAGCGGATACCAGCAGTCAGACAACGAACCGTTTCGCCGGGGTACAACCGCACACGCCAATCCGACTGCGCCCCAATGGCGACGAAGGTGCGGTAGTACAACGTCAGCCGCGGCGTGTCGTCCACGCTGTCCATCTCCGCGTCCTGCGCCATCACAAAGGCGGCCCCCACGGGACTCAGCGCCGCCATTAAAATAGTGCCCCGCTCCAATACACGCACGGCCTGAATAGACATGTCATGAAAGTGGACTGTGGTGGCGTCGGCGGTGCTGTGGATGTAGCCCACCGAGTTGTACGCCAGGTAGCAGCTTCCCTCCTCCCCCACGGGCGTTGCGCCAATCTGAAAGGAGTAATCAACCACAGCCGCCGGGCCCCCGCCCCCCGCTGCCCGCACCGACGCATCGTTTGGCGGTTGCGACGCCGCCGAGGAGCCGTTCGTCCCCGTCGTCACGAGAGAGCCACCGTCGTCCAGGGCGCGTCCGCCGCGGTCGTCGCCATCCCGCTCCATGACGTCGTCGCCACTGGCGTCGTGCTCCGACGACTCCTCCGCCTCGTCGTCAAGGAAGACGGAGCGGTGTCTGCGGCACTCCGCCTCGGCAGCTAGCAGCGCCTCCTTGGGGTCCTGCTGCCGCCAGCGCGAAGGCCGCTCCTCCCCGCCGTCGTCGTCCCTGTAGTGCGGGTTGGTGCGCTTCAGGTCATCCACCACCTGCCGGAAGTCTTCCTTGGCGACCGAGGCGGAGGAGGAAGCGGAGGAGGCGGAGGAGGAAGCGGAGGAGGACCCGTCATCGCTGCCGCCGCTGTCGTTGATAACGCCGCCATCGTTCTCCTTTGCAGGCCTCCCATGCTGCACGTCGAGGGACTCCTCCTTGCCGCCGTCCGCGGGGGCCTCTCTGCGCGGCTTCTTCCTCCCCGGCACGTCGGCGTCCGCCGTCCTCTTTGCGGCCAGCGCCTTCGGCGCCTCCCGCTGCAGGTACGTGACGGCGCCGTCCCGCGTCCCAACGACGACGTCGCCGCTCGCCGCATCCACGTGGGCGTCCGTCACATCCGTGAGGCTCTGCCCCTGCAGGCGCGTCACGCCCCATTTGCGGACATCCAGCTTCGCCGCGACGACGCCGGTGGTGCCGGCAAGCACCACGCAGAGGATGTTGGCGGAGAGGGCGTAGCACGTGACGCCCAGCAGGTCTGTCATGCCGAAGCCGTCAATCCCGGCCACGTGCCGGAGGCGGTGCTTGTGCGGCGGCGCTGTGGCCTCCTCAAGCCGCAGCACGCGGGCCTCAGTCACACCGGGGACAAGCAGCAGCAGGGCGCCGTCGCTGCCGCGGCCCCAACACAGCCGGTAGGCGACGGCGTCGTCCCGCTTCGCCGTGGGGGAGAGAAGACTTGGGAGCGCGAGACTGACACCCCTGAGCCGCTCCGACGCCGCCTGCTGCCCGGGGGCGGCTTCCCCCTGCGACTGCGACTGCGACGACGCCTTGGAGTTGGCGGGGGGGCAGCAGGCAGACACGACGCCCACCGCGCCGCTCGCGGAGGCCATGGCGAGGAGGTTTCCGCACGGCGAGAGGGCGAGGCCGACCAGCGGGTGGGGGACATTCATCGGCAGCGTCTGCACACTGCAGCCGCTCGGGGACATCTGCAGACAACGCAGGGAGTCGCCGGCGACAAACACGCGCCGGCGCTCCGCGTCGAACAAAACGCAGCGAACTTCACCCGTCACGCGGCACATGACGCGTGCGGTGGAGGTGGAAAGCACATTCTCGTGCAGGACGACGTTGCCGTCGCGGCCGCACGAGAGCGCCAGTCCCAGCGCGGAGTGCAGCACCACGCAGGTGACGGCGCCGTCGTGGCACTGGCGGGCCCAAAGCTGCTGGCAGGAAGGCCACCGCTTCTGCGGGTAAAGCGCCACAACACCGTCGATGCCGCCCGTCAAGACATGGGCGGCGTCCACGCACACACGCGTCGCCCCGGCTGGGTGAGCCTGCAGCTGTGGAAGCATACAGTGAACCCTACGCAGCGAGAACGCCCCATGCGCAGAATAATGCAAAGCGCAGGTGAGAGAAAACAAGAAGAGGCAGAAATACGGCAAGAGAGAGAAAGAGGGAAACAGAGTAGCACATCCCACCCACCCCTCCCGGAGGAGGAGGCTGGCAGGTGGAGAGAATGCTGAGGCCCGCAAAGGACACCGTCGCGTCAGGCTGAGGCGTCATCCCGTCTCATGTCTTCTCCCCATGCAAGTGGGGGAGCGACGAGGCTGGCGCACCTTGAGAAACAAAAGAAGAAGCAAACAAAAAAAATCGGGGAGAGGGAAAAATAACAAGGCAAAAAAGCCTACACACAGCAAAGCTTGCACGCTTTCTCTAGTGAGTCGCACCATGACGACAGCCAACCAGCCACGCAGCAGGGTTTGCCAAGGACACCCAACAACAGTACAGGAAAACGAGACCCAACACAACTCTCACATCGCTCTTCTGTTGTGCATGGAGCTCCTACGTCTTTGGTGGCGCTCGCTGCGGCGCAGTGCCTTCTGCGGTTGCCTGCAGCGCCGAGGCGGGCCCGGGTGCTCCCCCGGGTTCCGAGCACAGTGAGGCCAGTAGCTGCTGCCTGTCTTGTTCCTTCGCCCGCTCCCGGGCCCGGCGCACGGCCTTCATGAGACGATCTAACGTTATCCCGGCAGGCTTCTCAGGCGTGCGCGGCGGCGACGGCGACGGCGACGGCGGCGAGCTTGCGATGGGGGCTTCCGGCAACGACGGCTGCGCCGCCGCGGCCGATGCTCCCGCGCCCCGCCTCTCCTCGTCGCCGGCGACGTCGCGGCGGCAGCACATCGCCTCCACCGCCTCTACGCGGCGCCGCAGCTCCAGCAGCTCCGCAGAAACCCCGCCGCTCTCCTCCTCCTCCTCTTCCTTCGGCGGTGCGGGGCCGTCGTCGACGGCAGCGTCCGCGGCACGCGGCGGCAAAAAAGCGAAACCGCCCCTCGCCTCTGACGCCGTCGCGTCTCCCGTGATGTTGTACGGCTGCTCCGCCGGGACTGAGGCGGCGGGGAGGCCGTAGTTCAGCTGGTACCACGCCGTGGAGGGCGGGTCGCGCGACTCCCACCACGGCAGCCCCGCCCCCTCGCCGGCACGCAGCAGCGGCGACGGCGCGGCCCGTGCGGGGGCGAAAAAGGCAGAAACCGGGCCGGGCCCCGCCACGCCTCGGCGCCACCACGGCCGCACAAGCGGTGCACCGGGCGCGACGCAGGCAGCGTCGCACATGCAACGCGCCGCGCAGGCCCGTTCGAGGCAACCCGGATCCACCGCCGCCGCGGTCGCCAGCGACGGAGCAAAGTCGCCCTGCGTCTCCGCAGCGTAAGGGTGCGACGGCACAGCCGCATGCCGTGCAGCCTCTTGCCGCAGCATCTCCACACCAACCTCACGGAAGCCGCACACACGCACACGCACACGCACGCGGACTTCTACCTGACACCAAGGCGCCACGCGGAGAGGGGGGCAGGGGAAGGGTCAGCAAAGGCTGGGAGAGCAGAAAGAGCAGCAGGCGGAGGGCACGCGGGGAAGCGGGCGCCGCGAGGGCGGCAAGGACGCAGCCCCACCCCAAAGTCAAGAACAACACCAGCAACAGAAGCCGCGTCCGGCTGCCGTCTTCTCCCCTCCTATTCCTACACAGGGGGAGGGGGGCACACAACAAAGCGGCGGCGTCGGCTTGGCGCGGTGCCTGCCCAGCGTCCCCCCACTGAAGAGTCGGGTTCCCCCACACACACAGAGAGAGAGAAAGAGGGAGTGAGGGAAAGGAAGAAATGGATTCAAAGTAAGTGCGGCCATGGCAATCGGGGCTCTCGTCGTGAACTCACAAAGTGGCACTCCTGCAGGCCCCTGCTCCCCCGCGTGGAGGGCCGGGAAGGAGGTTGGGCCGGGATGACGGCGCGGCACACACAAAAC